TCCAAGCTACTTCATGCTTCGGAAGGCACGTTAAGCCGTTGGTCCCGGCTGCATTTGCAGTCGTTTATACTCTCTAACCCGTATTGGGCTAGCGTGGAGGGTCATGGCCCATCCTCCTTAACCATCCATAAGGAAGGCCTGAGCCCCTGCAGTGAGGACGTAAAAAGGGCTGATGATGATGAATCAAATACACGTACTTACAAATTATTTATTTTTAGAAATAATTTATTGAGTCACTCCAATCCTCATTGGGCCAGCGTGGTGGGTCATAACCCATCCTCTTTAATCATTCATAAAGACGTAATAAGACATGATGATGGTGATGAGTCGCTCACAGGTCGGTTTCTATGTGTCACCATTTCCGAGGCAGGTTCGATTATCAGTCGGGTAAATGTAGAAAATAAACTTTTATATATTATGTCGTGTCTGGCTTCTGTCATATCCCGTTTTTGCTAATTAAATAGTAGCCAAAGCACTTGTTTTATGGACAATATAGAAAATTAATAATTTGCTCTTTTAACCTGAGCGGGAATTCGTTAAACCTTTATTGCCTATAATAAAGTAAATAAGTACCAAACAGGCAACTCTACTCTACTCCACCACATTGGTGACGAAGTATAAATACGTTAAAAAATCAAACGTGGCACCTCAGCATGAGGACACTGTGAAACCCGTGTGGCTACGGAGTTCGACAAATTTGATCGATATTTGAAAGTCCAATATTTACCTGTATACCTATGGGTTATTACCAGTGGTCGGAATTAGGTAGAGTTATTCATGTACTTACACTGATTTCATACAGCGAAAGAATAAAGTGGATATGCCTCAAATCCCGAGATAGATTTTAAAGAGCAGAAAAAATCCCGTGATTTTTTAAATAAAAAGTTATTTACTTTTACACAATTTAAACTACTGCACGCACGACGTTGCCAAACTTACATCAATGAAAGAAAGAAATAAAGAAATCCCGGGAAGGTCCACATTAATATCAACATTTCGATGCAAGTACATAAATAACTCTACCTAATTCCGACCTCTGGTTATTACGTAATTTATATTAATAATTATTAGTTACAGCTTATATTTATTGAATTTCATGTCGAAGAAAAAGTAGAGAGTAATTTGAGTATAAGGTCTGAGGTATTAGTACATTTTGAAAAAGGGGTATATTGTCCAAAATTGATTGGGAATCACAGAGTTACACGATTAGTGTTATTGTAAAAAAATAGGTCGATAGGTAATATCAAGAACATCGTCATATCATAAATATCTTTCAGGTATTTATAGACAGTATCAAGGGTCTTTAATGCTAATACTTTTTTCCGATTTGCCTGAGCTTTAATATACTTTAGCTGCAATATCTAATATCTAATCAAAAACACTTGGGATTCTTTTAAATAATAAAATTCTTTTTATAATTTATTGAAACATCGATGTTACTCGAACCAATTGAATCAAGAATATTAATAAACTCAGTAGTTGATTTAGTATATCTTTTGCTTTTATCTACAATTGGGAATCGAACATGAAGAAGTTTAGTTCAATGTCTGTTTACGTATTTGTGTTATTGCCATGCTTTTGTTCTAGAAGGACTTGGATATATCCAAGGTGTATAAGTATATTTTCAGTTGAATAAGTTCTTATACAATTAATATTAATTATTTATTAATTTCCGAAAGGGTTTTTCGATAGGGATATTTGTGTTGGAATAAAAACACATTATTATTGCTTATATTTGATATTTTTTGCATTCGTAGTGCTATTTTTTACTTGTAAGTCAATGCAAATCTAACAGAAGATCGCGTGTGAAAGGTCGAATGTTATATCTACTAATATTATTAAGAGGAAAGATTTGATTGTTTCTTTGTTTCCATCGAATAAGCTCCGAAACTACACGATCGATTTTAAAAATTCTTTCACCTACGGGAAGCTACATCATACGCGATGGTATCATCGCTTCACGCGGGTGACATTGGTCATAATTTACGTGGGCGAAGTCGCGGGAAAACAGCTAGTGTTATATGTTTTCTTAGTTATCACGTCCGCGACTGCGTAATACCGCATCAAACTGTTTTATTATTAACAATGTATCAAATGCCTGTATTGTATTAACAATGCATCATATGGCCGGCAATTTATGCATTATTAATTTGAATATTAAGTCAATTAGTGATAAGGTAGTAAGTTGCATTAATAACTAGTATTGGTAGAGTTTGTTACGGGTTCGGTGCTTCGTCAATTAAATAGGCTGATCAGCTTGAGTATAATTTATTAATGAAATAAGGGTAATAATAAAAAACTGTAACAAACAAAAATAAATTTAAAAAACAGTTCGTAAGTTACTTAAACTAATACATTCTTATCAAATAAACGAATACATACCCCTTGTCGGGCTTCTTGTTACACTTTTGGATCGTACAAAATACAGTTTTAATTTAGTAAATATGTTATATTATTGTATCACCATAATATATGAATTATTAAAATTACATAGTAAAATTTATACCAATAATATTGTATTATATTATAATTTCATCTTGTGTATAGGAGAATTTCTTACGAACTGACATCCATAAAGAGTAAAATTGATTAGTCAAAATTTTAAATTACGAAAGACGAATAGTAAAATGAAATGATGTTGAATTTCAAAAGCAAAAAGTTTGCATACTGAAACCTAGGAAAACAAACGGTGGCATGGCACACCGTTACAAGTTTATACGTAGAGCAGAGTAAGAGAACACCTAAGACACTTGATTTTTTAATTGTATTTCTGTTTGTTTAAAGGAATTCCTTTTAGATAAAAATATATTGTCTATTAGTAACATATCAATTATATTTTCTTGGATTAAAAAAGAATAAAAAAAGTCTAATATATTTTTAAACAAACAAGACCGATTTATTTAAAACATTGATGTTATCTTTGGAAATCAAATTACGCGATCTTTTTGTTATAAAAACAAAAATTCTTATTTATTTTCGACTATTATATTTTTGAATTAAAAAAAAATATATGAATGATCGATTTTGAAGTAATTTAATTTTATATTTTTATTTTATAGATATCTATTTTTACTTTTTAAAGTATAATTTATATAATAAATCAAAATATTAAAATAAATTTAAATATTAAAATTTCCCGCGAAAACGCCACTTCAGCTCTCATGGCGTCACGGCCCTCTGAGAATAATACCGTTCTATGTATGCATAAGGTTGAATTCTCCAAGTTCTGATATGAGTAAGAGGGGCGTGACGTCACGTGCTGTTTGCAGTCACGTGTGCAATGTATATTAAACACTACTAGAAAAAAAAATATATTTATTTTCGATTTCGTCTACATCCGTATTAAATCAATTTGCGTGTCTTTTTTGTAATTTTATTTGAACAAGGTTTTGATTTGGTTTATGTAAAATAGTGGAAAAATAATGACAGTTGTTGATGATTTTTGAAAAAAGAAAGTGTAGATCGCTAGTAAGAGTATGCTTTGTAAGATTTTTGTTTGTTTTTATTGATAATATTTATACGTTTGTAATACGGAAATATTACGAGTAATTTTTTTATAAAAGAAACTGCTACACTTACTCACCTCCTGATTCTGAATAGTCGAATGAAGCAATTGCAGGGCTATACAACAATTTATCGTTTTAAAATTAGCTCCTCGTAGGTACCGCTCATAATATAAGTTCAATTTAAAATTTATCGCATTTTTATAAGTTCTGTCAAACTTAAAGATTCATTTGACTTGTGGCATAATTTTTTATCGTTATAGAGTATTTTTAATCGAATTGGAACAGCAGTCCTATCTATACCAATATAATAAAGAGAAAAGGTTTGTTTCTGTGTTTGCATCGACAAAGCTCAAGAACTACTGATCCTATTTTTATAATTATTTCACTTACGGGAAACTCCATCTTACGCGGGTGCGGTAGGCTATAATTTTCGTAGACAAAGTAGCGGGAGAACAACAAATTCTACGCTGCTAAAAGCCTCAAATTTGGAGAGTTGGTTACAGCATGTTCGATTAAAATAAAAACTTCAATCAAATAAAAACTTTATAACCCTTTACAATAGGATCTATTTGATTGAACCTTTAAACTGTGACAGCGCATTGCCTGAGTTGAAGCATAAGTGGAAGCGTATGTCGAATGTTATTCATATATATTTTTTAATTTGCTTATTTACAACATTTACGTCATAATTACAGCTTATAATCAAAGCGATTTAGTAAACTAAGAAATTATTTTAACCAAAAATATACTTTATATTATTATTTATTACTCACTCAGAGCACAAATAAATATGTCAATTCCATTTGTATTTTTTTTTGGTTCTAAAGCTCGTCTTTTATTCTCTTCATTCATTCAAGCTCCTTCTTTAGCTAATATTTTGGTTTCTCTTGGTTTTAATACTAAAAAAAAAGCATTGGTGTCTTCTTCTTTTTCAGTATCGGGCGTTGTTACTGCAGTTCAGAAATATTTTAATCGTACCCCTGTACTTAAAGCAGCATATCATGTTACCATAATATTTAACATAACATAAAGTTAAGTATATTAAAAAATCAGTCAGCCAAAAATAATTTGAGGTGCTGTTGACTCTATTTTGCTAGCCACCCCTGTTTCTAAAGTAAATTCAAGTCGGACTTTTTTTTTGACATAAAAATGTTAACAACTGTAAGTAATACACCAAAACCTTTTCATTATTTCTCTGTCTATTTGAATATACTATATTTGATACTCTGTGGATAATCATATTTATATACTTACACAAATTGTTTATTACTTACGATACTCGACGAGGAGCCTGATGGCACTGTAGCATGGTGTTTTATCGGATGACCAAAGAAACTGTCTAATGTTCGGCCATGATTATCAAAATCGTCAATCCTAGCTTTATCTGTAGTCGTTAACTCTTACAAAATAAGAAATAGGGTACGTTTGCTTTAATACTAATTACGTGTCTTTCTTCAAAACTTAAAAAGAAAGTCAATGAAATTTGTAAAAGTAGTATTTGATATATTAAATATACGTACCCGAATTATATATCATTATGTTTGTTTGTTTGCGTATGACTCAATTTGTATAAAAATATCTCCAAGACTTTGATGTTTGTATATTGTATTTTCTCTAGGAATTCATTTAGCGAAGTCCAAGCTAAGTCGTAGTAGCAATTCAACTATCAAATCAGGCAATAAATAAAACTCCAGTATCTGATAAACTAACTTTGAGTTTATTTTTACCATTTACACTTGACAATGTATTCATAATCTGTTGTCGTCTACGGTTCTTTTTCGTAGGCGCGTAGCTCGCGCATAGTTGTGGCTACGCACACGTCATGCTATATGAAACAAAACTAATTGCTACGAAAACATTCTATGGAGCACGCGTAGACGTGTTTACAAATCAACGTTCAACCATCGACTGAGTTCCGAAAGAATAATTTATTAATAGTTGCCATATAATTACGTATTAAATATCAAGTTTATAGATATTAATATTTCTGTACTTGCAGAACTCAAGTCGATCTTACAATGAACTAAAAACTATTTATGCACGTAATACAATGTGAACACGACAATCGAAAAGTTTGATCGTATAACGTTTACAGTTTTAACATTAGGAACCGGTATATTTCACTAGTAAAGAATTTTAAAATAATTTTTAGTATTACAAATACAGTTATTAGGAACTATGATAGACGTGAGTGCTACCTTTATCATTCATAAACTTATAATTTCGCAACCAACATATTACACTTAGCTTATCAAGAGGATTTACGTACAAAATTGTTTTGTTAATAACAAAATTAAATTAGTACAAATAATTAGAACTAAAACGAACATAGCCTAAATGAACAAACAACATGCCCGTGCGGCACCTCTATTAGCAGATACAACAGACTAATCCGAATTAATCTTAAATATTAAAATTTGTATTCGGAAAGTATAGTGAAACTCTAGATGCGATAATATTGAAATATACATAGGAACCATGATTCATTCCGCGGGCATTCAACCGCGGAGACACAACATCACACTACCGACACGTCCACCGTCACTCCCGTCGTGACGCTGACTGAACGACCGAGCGACGCCGGCGCCGGGAGCGAACATAACACTCAACAAACTTTAGGAGCTATGCATTATTATAATATACTAAAACCTCAAATACGCAAAACGAAATTGTGTTGTACGCGCTCCTTCGCGGTATGCGACGCTCGCGGCTAATGCGTTTTTTAATTATGTCTCGTCAAAGTTATATTATGACCGCATGAGATAACTCGTGAGGTTATACTGAAAAATATTACTTGTTTTGATATTGATACGAGAGCTTCTTTTTTTTTTATATAATTTTTGTGATGTTGACCCTTCAAGTTTTAAGTAGTATGACTAGATCTATTTTCAATTTAAGTGTAGAAGCTCCAGGAAGGCCTTCGAGAAGATAAGTTGCAGACGCATTCTCCGGGCGTCAGCTCATTGCACACCTAGATATAAATAACAAGGACCTCCGGCAACCGGTGGAATAAAACATTGCACTTTATATAAAAAAAACAAACTCAATGTTGTAGTAGGATCCACTCGTAGATAAAATATTGTAGTACACTCCGCTAGATAAAATGTAAATATGTAATTTTTTATTTAAATAACGTGATCTGTGCCATCGAAAATATAAGGGACTCCACGCACACTGTAAAGTTATGGATATACATGTTAGGCGAGCGCTCCCCGCCGCCATGTATCTACATGTCTTTACTCACTTACGCCACTACTAATAATCATTACAATATCAATAAAAATTCAAGAATCACACTTAGTTCCAAAATAAACTCACTTGTATGCGAGGTAGGCTGGGCGCTGGCGCGCAGCCCGAGTTTCGAGTTCGTTCGTTTTGGAAAAGTTGCTACGATAATAATAATTATAATTAACTGTTACCAATAAGCCTACGCGGTATCGTCGCGGCTCCGCGGACGGCGCGCGGTGCGCGGGGCACTGGTCGCTGGTCGCTGGTCGCCGCGGCGGATGGGTGGCAAGCGCCCGCGGGAGAGGACGACCGCTCTACTGCCTAACATACGTACTAACTTCGCTTCACGTTTAAAAAAATCATATAATACGTATATCACTATATATATCTTCATACATTTACGATGCATCAGGAACTTCTTACGAGAACGTATCTATGCCTAAAATTAGAACGATTATATGTATGTATTACATAGCTTTAAACAATAATTAAATCGTAATTATCAATATCGATAATATTATATGCCATAAAGATAGGAACTTGCTTTCCTGGGAGTTGATGGTGAGGGTGTGTAGCGGCGGAGCGGCCGCGTCCGCGAGTCCCGCGACGGTAAACGTACATAATAAAACCTGTCTAACGTATGATATGCAAGCGGGCCCGGGACGCGGCCGACCGCCGTCGCCGCCGCCGCCTCCCAGTGTGCGGCGAGCGGCGTCCGGCGCACGCCGGCATTAACCTATACTTACAACTACAAGCATTAAATATAACTAGGAAAGTGCCGCTTCCGGCATCAACGTAAAGAAGCGTTAAGAGCTAATAGTGAACTGCTGCGTTGTCGGACAACGGAGAGAGCGAGGGGCTCTTGTTAGTAACTATACATTTCGAGCGTGTAGGATTAGTGGCCCGCGCTCGCGAGAGGGAGCTCGCTGGGCGGGAAGCGGGGGGAGGGCGCACAGAAATTGGCGCTGGGGTCTTTCGGCGTCTCTTGCGCCGCACGCGCAGCCAGCAGGGTGATTTGATTCACGACATCCTCCATTTCGTGGGTGAGCTCTGGTGGTGGGGCCGGTGGTACTGTACCGCGGTGGGTATCAGTTTCTGCATGTCTGCGGAACTCCAGAGCTGTCCGAAACCGTTCGCCGGGGCAGGTACGGCATTCCAGCGCGGGTTGCACTACGCGGATGACACCTCGCGCTGATTCGCGGCCAGCATAGCAGGAGCGAGCTTGGTGCGCTTGTAACGGAGCTGGCGACGGGAACGCAACTTTGCAGTGCTTGCAGACGTAGCACAGATCAAAGTCGAGCTCGCGTGCACCCGCCGGTGGCTCATTCGCCGGCGGTGGTAGACGGAGCATTGACGCACCAGGGTCGGCAGCAATGTGTCTGATCTGCTCGAGAGTCGTAGCCGGCAGCTGAAGGACGCTGGCGCCATTCCCTGTTTCTACGATGAGACCCTGTGGTTGTGGCTGCATTGCGTTGGGCGTTCCACCTGTAAAAGTAAAAAAGTCTTAATTAGTTTCGTAATTGAAAATGCCAAATTAACATGACAATCGATCGATTCATTAATAAAGTTAATTTGTTTTAATAAAGGTATTCGTGATTTTTCGTCCAAGAAATACACTTATAATCTCGCATCTATCTTGTTAGAAGATAATCAAATAAGAATGTATATTTGTGAGTAATAGTAATTCACAATGAAATGCATAAATATATCATACGCATCAAACGTAACAACATTATGCTGGTATGTACAATTCGCTAACGTCGTAAGAAGGTGTGAACACACGTACAGTGGACGATCGTTATAAAGGGGTTAATCCACTTACATCGAGGGTCAGCCCGCAGCCGTGAACTGACCCTTCGAAAGAAATACTTTCTACTGGTTTTCGACCTCTATCCTTGAAAAAGTAAGAATCGATTCAGTTTTGTGATTGTAATTTTCTGCTTAGTACTCTAAAATTAAAAGTTTTTAAAAGCTTAATAGATCCAACTGAAATGAGAATGTAGCTGGTTTTTTCCTGATTTGTGCCAATGTTGAGGTAGTCATAAGGCAACAGTTAATACTTTTTTAATTATGGTATAGAACGCTTATGGCATTGTGTAGCTCAGTTACCACTATCATTAAACCTGGATGAAACAATAATGAAATATTATTACTAATGTAAGACTGAACTAAATTTGGTAAAAACCTTGTAATTTGGGTCAATCAACAGGTCAACAAATAAAAAAAAAAGAATAGTGGTTACAGTTTTTATTAATTTTTCATTGTAGAAATTAAAAGTGATAATTAAATTAGAGATTATTTTTAATACTTCTCCTAAAAGATAATGATACTTGAATGTTCCACAAAGTTTTACAGTACTTAATTGTTTTCTAAAAATGACAAATTCTTGGCAAAGGTATCTTATGCTTAAGTCTATTCTAATCTCGATCAGAAGCCGATGCCAAATCTCGCTCAATCTTTAGAAAGCGGCACTGAGCGCTCCAAATTGGGTGTTCCATTGTTCCCGATGGCCTTAGCACCAGATAAACGCTGTTTACCTTACAGCAGTCGATTGTACATGCGTGATGCGTTTCTAACGAGGTTCGACCGCCTCTGTAATTGATTCGGAGGCTGTTTTATGCGTCTTATATTCACGAATGCATAATACATAGCTCTCGAGTTGCGTCCAGTTTATACTGCCCGAAGTGGGGTTAGCACCGAACTGAAAGAATAATGGAACCGAGATCCTATAGATTATTAAACCTTTTTGCTAAGTCAAAAGTGTTCTTTTATCTTGTGTCTGTTTTTATTGACGGTGAGTAACTTCATGTTTGGCCACTTTGTTCCAAAAAGTTTTGATATTTTTTTAAATCAAAAGGATTTATATTGAGTGTATCTATTTGTTTTATTGGTATTGTCTTTGCTTCACTGCCATTTTAGTAAAACGGTGGCAATGCTTCCACTTAACTGTAGTATCCAATTTGCGACTAGGAAGGTCTAACCTAATCTGCCATCAGTAGTTCTTAGATAAGCCAAAGCAGGCAGAGTTCTTCGACACGGTCCCAGTTAATCTGATGCTGGGATCTGTATAATCCCGTGCGAAAAGGAACGCAGCTTTCAATCAAGCTAACAATCGGCCTGATTGGCCGCTCGGGCTCTCTTAATGAGCTAGACAGGGCCATGTCCGTACGCATGTCATGCTCCAAACATGCTAATGATTGCCATATGTAAAATTTATAACTATTTTCGTGCACATACCATACCATTAACGGAACTGAATTAAAGGTCAGATTTCTATGAGTTGCATGCTCTTGCAATCAATATTGTATCTTGCTGAAAACAAAGCCTAGTTGGGACTGAACCCGAAATCAGTCTACATCTGAATATAGAATGGATTAACTAAGCCATTATATTAATCTTAGATGCTGTTATTACAATATACCAGTGTGGTTATTCAATAATTTTAAGCGTTAAAGTGGATTGTCGCGTACGTAATTTTCAAGAAAATCTAACTTCTTATGAGTGTATAATTGTATACGATGTATTTTACCGGGCGTCATTGGCATAAAGCCGACGACGCGGCCCTGACGTTAATTCGCAACCCTTTCTGCCAATTAGTATCAAAATAACCACACTATTGTTGCACATAGCACCTAACTGTTTAAAATTGTCAGATCAACATCGACTTAAGGTTTAAGTGAATAAAGTTTAATTTATTATGATAGTCTAGAGCTCAGGTCGGTCACTTCACCCACCGTTCAGGTTTTAAGGCTTCTTAATCCGGACTTGTAGGTCGTTACGCGTTATTATAACGCGAACGAAGACGGCTATTTCTTCGCTCATTTACATCTCATTAAGGATGCTATTATTGGACTAGGGCTTTGGTTCAAAAGATTTCCGTACGCATTGTATGGTTTGAGTTACTGTTTGCCATGTGATAATTCGAACCCCTTTTAAATTTGCCTTCGAGATCTTTTTATTCAAAATTTTATTGGAGTATCTTTTGTAGATATTAAACATTATTTTTGGCCAAGAATGGGTAATCAACTCAACGTAATAATTGGTACTATGATATGGGTAGGATAGTAAAATAAACCAATGTAAAAGTAGATAGTTAGAGGTAAGTAGGTGATGAACCTTAAACCTTTAGGCTATCTGAGCGATTGCTCTTATCAGATTTTTTCAATGATGTCCATCGATATAGCATTGTGAATAGAAAATTAATGAAATATAATAACTTTAAAATTTCCACTGCTAATTCATAACTCTATTTCAATGTTAGTTCCTAATTGTTTTCTTTGTGCTTTAAAGTATTTTTATTAAGCTATATAGTAGGTATATATTTGATTCAATTAACACAAAATCTTCTTGAATTGAACACCTTCATGGTCCTCATAAACTACTCCATTCCAAATGAGAAGGCTGTATGAAAAATAAAAACGTTGAGTAGTTTAATCGCTCCACCTTAGTAAAATCGGTCCACTCTGTATAAAGTTTTGAGGTAACACACATCACGCATACTTAATGCAAATTAATGGTTTTCTCATAGACACCAATGCCAAATCTGGACCAAATTAAAATGAGATCACACGTCAAGCACTAGCTTTCAAATAAAGAAAGAATCATCAAAATCAGTTGAATTGAGAACCTCCTCCTATTTTGAAGTAGGTTTAAAAGAGGTTAAGACCTAAGTTTGTAATGGTTTTTTTCTTCAATTGATTTAAAGATTATTAATGATCATAACAAAATTTCAGCAAAATAATGCCGAAGGTGAAAATCACTGACTATCCTCTCGATTCTAATCCCTGAAACATTTGGTCTCCCGAGATTTATATTAACTACATCAATTACTCGATTCCATCTTGAGCCCTTAAGGCCGGAGATGGAGCGATACACGACATCTGTGATCGATGATAATTAAACTAGATCGCAACATGACCTTGTTCGCTCTAAGGAGGCGCTTATGTCAATTTGATGGGGCTCCATCTTTGTGATCTGTCGTGGAAAATCCACGCGAGTGTTAAATCTAAAGAGTATTTAATAATTACCTTACTAAAATTACTAGTTATTAGGATGACCATAATGTTGTTTTTTTTCCTTTTTATATTATAAAAACCATTATTGCATTTGAATAGGAAGACAGATGCGAGCGGCATTGTAAGAGTATTTACGAGTATAATATGGAAGAGTTCTTAGCTATTTCAAGTTTTGACTTTCTTTATATATTATCGCAAGCCATTCCGCGAAACTGGTAGCTAGTATTCAAGTCTTGGCAATATTCAAATGATTACCATAGTATCTGTATCTGAACTTCAATCTGGCGTGCATTATGAAGCTTGAGTATTCCTCTCTCGTAGGGGACACTTGGGAGACAGGAGGGAAGACGGGACGTCCCGTCACTGTCAACTGGAACAGTTGGCAATTAGACTAACGGCTTAGATGAACTGGAGAGCTTGTTTAAGGCGAGTTTACTTTGAATTTGCAGTGAATGTATTTGAATTTATTTAGATTTTTTATAGTTTCGTGATTAGACAATTATAATAGATAGTAATCTGTGGTATTATTAATTAATTTAAAAAAATAGTTTTCGAGTAGCTCGGTGGTTTAGTGGGTAAGTACCGTGCCCGCGATCGTTGTTGTTAAGCAACTTTTGCAAGGATCGGTTACGGGATGGATGACCAAATAATTGTTATCTCGAGCTACTCCGGGCTTCGGAAAGCACGTTAAGCTGATCCCGGCTACATTTACAGTCGTTAATACCCTCCAATCTGCATAGGGCCAGCATGGAGAGTCATTTACCATCCTCCTTAACCATCCATAAGGAAGGCCTGAGCTCCTGCAGTGGGGACGTAAAAAGGGCTAACAAATTTACAACGACAGAAGAAATGAGAGAAGTTGTGATGTGTTATTTTGTTACTTACGTTGTGTTATTTATTTTGGTCGGATAATGATTTAAACCAGGGGCCAAATTATCTAATTTAAAAAATCTATCGTAGTCCATTTTGTTTTCTTTAGAAAGTACACTAAAATGTCCTCGATAAATATACGTTTCAAGGTGACGATTTAATAATTTCGCTCGTGAAATTTATTTTATCATCTTTACATAAGTCGGGACATGTTGTAAGTAGGTGAAACCCTAGGTGTCAGTTGCTTTGTAGTGCGTCGTGGCTGTAATATCGCCAATCCGCTTTGTACCGCGTTTACTCGCCTTTAATAGAATTATGAGGTGCTGCATTACACGACCTGGCGTCTTAGTGCATCTTCAGTTTATACAAGTGTCGCTGAAGAAATAATAAAGATATTATGAGATATTTACTATTGGCTGGACGTCAAGACGAAAGTGAATACGAGACGAAATCAACGCACTCGTAATGAAAAAGACAGAAAATGGTAAATAACGCGTTAAAAAATGTTTTGATATATTCCTCTAGGCGTTCAAAGGGGGAGGCCTATGTTCAGCAGTGGACGTCTTCCGGCTGATGATGATGATGATATTCCTCTCAATAGATTATGATTACTGTAAATACAATGGAAATTTTTGTGTTGACGACAGTTTTGCCAGCCTCTTTTGATATTATTTTTAGGTTTTCTAATTTGAATTTTTTACTTTAATTGCTTTTATTGCGATCGCTGTCTTGTCTTGTGTATCTTTTAATTGAACAATTCTATAGTATGCGCTCTTTTATTGATAATATTGTGAGTATTTTCTAAGGAGAAAATTTTATAAGTGTAACGTTGTTTACAAATTGATACAGTTTTCTGAGCCACTAGAGCTTATTAAGACTTTACTTTTTAGTACAAAAACAATTACTGATTCTGAAATGCTTTAATTTCCTTTTCTGTCGTAAATGGGTAAGTAGTAGCCAGTAGGCCAGTTAGAGTGTCATTTATAGATATGTCCTTTAGTTGGGTTTACAATAAAATATAAAATCTATGCGTCTTTTTCCTAGCTCTGCCTTATATAAATATGATGTTGTGAGTATGATTAGAGATCACAAAGAGAATATGCGTCTGCAGCTAATGTAATTGTTCCTTTCTTTTCCATAACGATAAACTTTAGTATCAGTTTGAATTGAAATTAATTTCATAATATTTTTGCTTGTACAAATATAGCAAAACCAATCGCGATCACCAAAATATTTGCACGAGTGCCAGCGTTTGAAGCTTATTATAAGAAGGAAAGGTCACAACGGAGAAAAAAAAACAAAAAGTACCACTCTACACCAAGGGCGATTCGGGTGGCCATTAACCAATAATGCCATCGAATATTATATCCATCATGTTAACGCCCGAAACCTCCATTATCCCGGCTTCCTCCCATTCCCGGCGGAAATCTCACCGCATTCAAATATTTAATTACTTTAGCACTCGATCGTTTATAAATTCGAGCGGGAGTGCTATCATAAAACGCGCTAATGCGTTATAATTAAAATATTCTCAACAAGCCGTGGCGTAATGGCACCTTCGGCGACGCTCTCCGACGGAAAAAAACGCATAAAAAATTACATTCACCCCAGAGGACTCACCCCTTGTGTCGGGAAAATCGATTAAAAAGAGGAGTAGCGGGGTGAAGTTGCGGGCGCGCGGGGGGCGAGTTTAATATGTACGAAAAAATGCACGACGCCGCGGGACTGAGGGAGAGGGCCCAAGGAGCAGAGTTGCCTTCAATTTTTATAATTACGTTCATACGTGAGCGGCCCGCGCTCGTCCAATTACTTATTTAGAATAGTTTCCGTACCGCAACGCTATCCGGGAGATTAACTTTTTAAAATTTAAAACAATGTATGCAACGGAATTGGATTTGCCGCCGGTGGCTCGCGACATTGTTACAAAAGGTCATCTGCTACGCTAAAGACCACGCATGCCGAGAATATAGGACGCATAAAAACTTTTTCGTTTCCGCGACAAAATCAATTTCCATCAACGTTGGAGCTCTAAACTTTTCCACACACACAGCAATCAAGAAAAGAAGGAGGCAATAAGAACGGGATAACCGACTGGAGGACGTTATCTCTGGAGACGTTTGCAAATGAGCGGGCGACCCACACGCCCGCCGCACTCACACACGCGCTAATCCCGTCCACACATGCGTACGTACATTTTATAAATAGATATCGCTTTTTTTATCCGGGTACAAGAATGGGGGGTTGCCACCCCGAGGACCCCTGCGGGGGACGTGTTGGATTTCAGATTGCTACGAACTGCAAAAATGAGGGATGAAAGAAATATAGCTTAAAACGCAGATATTTCCCGGCGTCTTAAGGTGGCAGGCGGGAAGGGTGGCGAGGAGTGTGTGGAACAAAGTAGAGTGGCGATATTGGAGCAAAATGAAATGGTAAACGAACCGTGCGCGTCCGATCTAATGCGAATTTATAATTTGGACATTGCCCCGGCGGCACTCTTTGAACTCGCCGAGGGTGGGCCTCTCTAAGGTGAATTTACAAAGAGTATGAATGTGATTTATAAATAAGGGGAGACGTGTGCGTTGACCGTTCGTTTCTGTTAGAGGTTTTTTCAATTAAGCTTTTAGTTAGTTAATAGGATAACGTTTTGGCACAACGAGTCGGTGTTTAGGCGTATCCTCATTGCAGGCTAACGCGTGTGTCCGCCGACCTAATTGCCGTCGCGCCGTAATCGGGATATGCGCCACGCTATAATTGCGACAGATTACTGCGACGCGACATTCCCGCAGAGCCGCCACTCGCCTACCGCACGGCGAACCCGTCCGGCAGCCTATTAGACCGAAAAGGAGATGTCCCCATCTATAAATACTTAACAGATGCACACCGATCACCATACAATGCGATCTGATTTGTATAATGTCACTGCTCATACCGCGCTCGTCAACTCCACAGTGGGTAAATAAAAATAATATGTCTCACGTTCTGAATGCAGAATTTTAGCTGTCACTTTTTTATGTGAATCATGAGCCGATGAACGGGCATGTCGCGTCTGCACGGCTTCATCGTCGTTGACTTTAATACCGAGCATATAAATGCGACAATTGCAAGTCTTACTAATTCGCTAATGAGTTATGTAGGTGTAGCGCGGGCGAACGGCTCGCATTAACACTAAGTAGATAAAAAGTTTACGGTCGTAAATGATGCAACCGTCTACTGTTTAAATAGCGTTGATCTCGATAGATTTACTGCTCACGCGTGACGTCACCGCTGTTAGAGAAACAAAACGCCATCGCTGTCTAAGCGGTAAAGTGAAAATTGCGTACGTGAACTGGAAGAAAAAATATTAAAAATTAATCAAGAGCCCGAAGCAAGGGAGTGTGAGGGAGCACATGTGTCGACAAAAAAGCGCCTCCCCCCCGCCCCGGGCACGTGCGAAGAGCCGTAACGGCCCCGTTCCGGCGCCGAGTTAAAAGTTCCACCGGACAAACAGAGGATTTGTCACAATTACGGCGGGCCGGCGCGTCCCTACTTGATTAAAACCTAAATCACGTGACGTGTTTACAGCCACGCCGGAGGTGTTTTCAATTTGCCCACTCCTAGTCGCCATTGGCGTTCCGGACACGTCCGGACGCACCTATCAGGGGGCCGGACGGCGTTTTGAATTTGCAACGAATTAAATTATTGACGATCAAATCGGACCGGCCGGCCATCTCGTCAAAACCACCCGCCGCTCACGTTTGTTAATTATTTTTAAATGTCGCACCCGAAACGCGTAAAAATTCGGCCCAACAACGTTTCGCTCCGGTAGCGTCCGCAGGAGCGAAGTGGAAAGGAGATTAACATTTGAATTAATCGGGAGATTAAACATAATGAAAGAAAATCTCATTACGGGGCGTATAATGGCAGTGAGAAATATCGCCGCGCGAACGGAAAGGAAAAAACCGGTGTGAAAGAAAGGCGCGCGAAGAAAATTAAAAGCTCGAACGAAATTAAAAAATGTTAAAAAAATGTAATCGACGCTGGGTGCGATTAGAGGGGGGAAACAGGCTGAAGGGTGGAGGGGTGTTCAAGGCGAGTCTTCAATTAAGGGGCTACGGAAAGAGTCTGTGTAATTAGATTCTCTCTCATCTTAAATCACAGCTCGGCTGACATCCAGCTTGTTTAATTTGTAATCGAGACTTGTTAGCGCCTTCTTTTAATTCGATTCTCCCGGTAACACTCTAGACCGCTGATTGAAATTGAATTAACACGATTACTCTGAGGTTTCTCTGCGGTGGTAAACGACACTGATCAATTCAACAGTATTACTGTCTTATATGCACATTATAGTGAAATAGTATATTTTAAAAATAAATTGGTATTAATCAATTTTAATAAAAAAAAAACATCATTCCATTATTGTGGGGTTGGATGAAAAACTATAGA